CGACTCCAAAACCTCTTTTCAAAATTTAGTTTGATCTTCCGACTATCTTTCCAACACATCAAAGATAAACAGTCCAACTTAGTATATAGTTCCTTTGAGTCTGCATTGTAAACACTGATACGGACGTGCTACAGAACCTGAAAAAGTTTCTGAGCTCTCTGCTGAGCCGAAAGGAAAAAGACTGGGTCTATCAAAATAAACAGCCTAATTAATCCAAAACCTGCATCTCCAAAAGGGTCCCTTTCCCTTTCCACTTGGTTTGCGGTGAGTTAAAGAAGCCCTCTCCAACTTTTTCATCCTGATGAAGCTATCGAGGTCAGGAAGCCCCTCACTTTCAAGACATCCAAGCCCAACTCGTAGAAACAAACGGGAAGCCAGGGGGCCAGTGAGAAGAGGTCCCCAGCCCCTCCCTCCTGCCCTTTCCAAGATCCCCGCGCTTCGGCCAGACCCTCCAGCCTGCGCGTTCTCCTAGAAGATGTCTCATTACATAATCCCCTTTCCTTAGAGTCACCCACAGAGTCACGGAGGCTCAGACGATACCCCGTCTCCCACTCCGCCCTTAGGAAGCTCGGCTGAGTGCACCCGGGGAGCGGCGGCCGGCTGTCCCGACTCACCCGGCGCCGCGACCCGGACCCAGACCCCCTCTCCTCACCCAGGCGGGGCGGGGCCGCGCCTCCACCGCACGCCCCCCGGGTCCCCGCTCAGACCCGGGTCCCCAGCCCCCGCGGGGTCCCCCGTCACAGTCGCTGTCCCAGCCCCTCTCGGGGTCCCCCAACACACCTGCTGTCCCAAGCCCTCTCGGGGTCCCCTTGCCGCTGAGAGCCGCTGTCCTTGCCCATTTCAGGGTCCCCTCCCTTGAGAACCACTGTCCTGGCTCCCCTGGGGGTGCCCCTTCAGACCTACTGTTCCAGCCCTTCTGGGGGTCCCCTCCCTTCACACCCTCTCTGTCCCAAGTCCTCTCCGGGTCCCCTTCTCAGACCCGCGGGGCCGGCCCCTCTGGGGATCTCCTCTCCACAGTCCAGACTGTCAAACCCACTCCCGGAACTCCCCTCATTCGGGTCCTCGCCGACCCCACTCCGCCCTGGGTCCCCTCGCCCCGACTCATTCTGTCACCTCTCCGCGCCCCGGTGCTCTCACCTCAGACCTGCTGTCACCACCCCGGGCCCGGCGTCGCCTCCGCCGCTTCCTCTCCCACACTTGTTACCGAGTCGCTCTTCTGCCGCTTGTTCCCCGGTGGATCCCCGAGTCCAGTCGTTGAGTGTCGGGTCCGGCCGCGCAGAACCTCCGCCCGCGGTCTCCGCGTCGGGTCCCACTCTCTCACGCAGGTCCCCGCAGCCGCCGCCGCCACCACCGGGAGCCACACGGACCCTCCCGCGGCCGCCGCTGCTGCTGTCCGAGGTGCGGCTCCTTCCAGGGGTGGCCAATCGCACCCGATTGCGCCGAGCGCGCTCCGCCCCGCCGTCCCAGCCTGCCCGCCCCCTGCCCCCGACCACGCCCCCAGCCAGGCTCCGATAGGCTCTCTACTGACCTTCCCTGATCGTGGGGCGCAGACCTGGGGCCGGATATAGGTACTAGATTGGAGATGCCTGGGACGCCGTGCTGTCGATGGCGCCCGAGGATTGGCGAAGTTGAAGGTGGGCGGTGCGGGACGGGGCGGGGTTTCCTCAGATGCGGAAGAGCTTGCAACTTCAGTTACCCACTGGCCCGCCTCGGGTGCGGTCCTCCTTGTTTGTGATGAGTTGGGGTCAAAGTTCATGGCACTCCTCACTGAGCCTTTACTTTTCTTGGGAGACTCCCAGAGGCCGAGGCCCTCTGGGACTCCCTGGGACCACCATGTTAGAGCCTTTAAGGCCCCCATTCCCCCGTTGGACCTGGCACAGCTTTCTAAGTAATTCTGCCATAAATTAATAATGGCATTTATTTACTCAGGACTTGTAAATTTCCCGGATTTAAAGTCTTTTATATCTTTGGCAAGGGAGTTGCCCTTACTTGCACTGCGTTCAACAGACGTTAGTTTGATGCTGTTGGGGGAAAAAAATCTATGTACTAGATGCATACTCAGCACACTTAAGCATTCAACACTGACGGGGCACATTTTGATAGGTACAAGGACAAAGCTTAAGAAATACTTTGTGGGTTATGATAATCATTTTGACAAGTAGGAACAGGAACTGTGGTAGGGGAACCCTTGTTAGCTTTAGCAAGGCTTCAGTAAGCCTGTTCAACATATTCTTTTACAGGGCCACAGAAAATGATTTTAATGATTTTGTGGGAACTAGTGGCCAAAGTATAATGAACTTCGACCCAAGTGCAACTCGTGATAACCAGAGACCCATCTTGATCCAAGCTGCAAGATGGAGCTTGCCAGGGGTGAAAGTGCATGGTGTTAACTCGGAGCCATTCTTTATATATTTTTTGTGAAACTGGATATGTTGATTAAATCAATACTGGAAACTGAAAACTGCTACCTTCACCCCTAAGTCCTAAAGTTTATGAACTTTGTGAAGACATTGTTTCACTTCAGGAACAGTTTGTTCCTAAGCATTGTCAGATGTATACAGGACTTAGCTCTTAGAAAACTTTCCATCATTAACTCTTTTTTAACTCTTGCTAACTAAATTTGTGTTCTAAACACTACTCATGTTTTTCCTAGTGCTTTAAAATCATACCCATTCCAATTAAGATGCTCCCCTTTAAGATTTGAGTGTTAGGGTATGTAGAGAGGGCCTGTAGAAGTGCTGGCAGTACTTCCTCTAAAATGAATTAGGATGTCGATGTCTCCTGAGCCATGTGACTTGAGTGCCATTTTGGGAAGGGATGTAGAGTGATTTTAAGGTGGTAAAAAGGGAACTTGGTTTTAAGGGAACTTGATTTTTACAGACTGTCCAAAATCATATTAGACAACTATAAAAGTTGGGTAAGACTAAAGTCATGAGAGAATTTTTTTGACTAGGTCCTCCTCCTTCACTGAGTGTTTATGCTACCAGTTGCAACACGGACAGAAGAAATGGGGTAGATTTTCACAACGCAAGTATTCAGTTCTTTCTAGTCATATAAAAAAATGCATGATCATTAACAGATGTTATTTGCAGCCAAGAAGACAAAATGTGGGACTTCCCTGGTGGCACAGTGGATAAGACTCCACACTCACAATGGAGGGGGCCCGGGTTCGATCCCTGGTCAGGGAACTAGATCCCATGTGCATGCTGCAACTAAGAGTTCGCATGCCACAAATAAGGAGCCCATGTGCCACAACTAAGATGCTGTGCAACCAAATGAATGAATAAATATTTTTTAAAAAGAAGACAAAATGTAAGCAAGATAAAAATGCCAGTGTCTTGAAAGGAAACCAATTAGCAATGATATCAACTCTTTTTTTAAAAAAATCGATATATCATTGTATTGATGAACTCTGATTTTTAAAATGTTGGTGCTTGGTTTGGTCTATGATTATTGCTATTGATGGAAACACAAGCTGGTCAAGATAGTCAATTACAAATAATTTAGACGTGACCTAACAGCATAAAGAAAATGACTTCATCCTTTGGACAAGAGACAGCTTTGAAATTCTAGTTTAAATGTTGACAGTGGAGCCATGAGAATGCCTCTTATTTAGCATTGCAGCATTCCATTCTGAAAATTCTTGAGTTTTGTTGGAAGAATCCCTCAAAAGTACAGGCAAGATTTTAATTACAACAAGGTAGAAAATAAGAAATGTTAAAATAAACGGGATGAGAATATATTTTTTCACTTTGAGGAGACTCTGTGGGGGCCAATTCAGCGATAAATTTGGTCACAAAGGACCTGAGAATGAGAATACTGGGTTCCAGTCTGGCTTCTACATCTGTGTTCAAGTTTACTGCTTGTACGTTACTTTTTTTTTTCTGTGGAGACTTGGGTGCAACGTAAAGAGTAGGGTTACTTTGGACAAAACCATTAACCATCTCTGGGCCCTTTTATCCCTTTTCTTGCTACACACACCAAGACAAAGGACAACCTCAATTTGTTCATTAAGCAAAGCTTATAACACCGTGCCTCTTCTACTCAGAGATAATCACACAAATTAATTCATGCAGATATTCAACTCTCTTGTTTTCCAAGTTACCAGCTAGCACCTTCCTTTCCTGAGCCTAATTAATTTTCTGCAGGCAAATGTTCCACTTGCTCAGTTGAGAGTTGGTTAGCAAGTTATTGGATTGGGGAAAACCACCTTTTAAAAAATTTATATTCTGAGAAACATGAGGCAGCTGTACTGTAGAGGACCTGGGTCTGAGAGTCTAAATAAGGCAGCCTGGACGCTTTTTTTTTTTTTTAAAGGCAATTGACAGCTCTTTTCTTATCTGTACAATCGGGATAATACCGTATTGAACAAACCTACACAAAAAGAAAGGACTCCCACCGACTGGGAAAATACGGTTTTGCTGACTCCACGATGGAATATTAGCATCCTCGTTTTAATTTTAGTTCTTAATAAAGCTCTAATCAGTCAGGGGAGGAGCCACGCCCCTTTTCTTCGGGATGATTACACGAACTCTAAATGTCTAGGATTCCCGACCTATAAATGGGATGGTTCATGTCGTTCACCTGTTTAAATTAAAGAGACCACCTCCACCTGCCAAGAGCCCTTCAAATCTTCTGCCTCCCAAGTCCAAAAAAAAAAAAAAAAAAAAACCTCTTTAGTTTTGGCTCCAGGCGGCGCCTAGCGGCTGTTTTCGGAAGTGGCCTCTGAGCTTCGGGGTCCTTGCCGCGGTTGGGCCTACCCAAGGATTTGCCTAACTCCAGAGAGTCTGTCTCCGCCTTTCTCCACTACCCGTTGAGGATTTTAAAGACGGCGATGAAGGAGATGGGGTTAAGGCGAAGGGGGCGTCAGGAGGCCTCTCCACTCCCTCTAGGATAGCGGAGTCAGGCGGTCCTCGGGCGGCTCCCGACCCGGAAGTCGCCGCCGGCGCGAGGCCCCCGTTGCCGAGAGCGAGCGCGCGGGGCGGAGCTTGGCGAAGACAGGGAAGGGGTAGCCGCGGCTCCGGCTCTTCGAGTTGGCGCCTCCCTTGGGCGCTGCTACGCGGACGTGGAGTCCGCAGGGCGCGTGGCCGCTGATCCCGGGTGGCACGCTAAGCTGCGGGCAGAGGCGACATGAGTGCTGCGGGGCTGTTAGCTCCAGCTCCGGCCCCGGCTGGAGCGCCGCCGGCTCCGGAGTACTACCCTGAGGAGGACGAAGAGCTGGAGAGCGCCGAGGATGACGAGCGCAGCTGCCGGGGCCGCGAGTCGGACGAAGGTACGTTTTCCCGCGGGCCGGGCAACCCCGGGCGGGGATGGGACAGCAGTGGGAGGGAGTGGGGCTGCCTGGGAGAGGGGCGGGGCGACCTCTGGGGTTTGGGGGCGGCTGGCGGGGCCGCCGGGAGGAGCGCGCAAGTTATCCCGACAGGTGCTGTGGAAGGCGAAGCCCTGAGGAGGTTGTATCCCTACAGTTATGCGGAGAAGGGCCTTAAGGAGCTGTTGTCAGAGCTGTAGGTCCCTTTAAGATTCTGCCCCTCTTCCCCCAGCTGTCTCTGAACCTCCGGTCTTCACTGGTTGGAATGAGAAAGCCATTCATTGGGTCCACGGAGTACTCCTCTCGATTTAGTTCCTGAGAGGCTCACAGCAAAGCCCGGTTTAGCTTTCTAGTTACCAAGGTGCCTCTCTCCCCCTACCCCGGGGAAATGCTTAAGTCAGCCCTACTTTGGGCAGTGCGGGACAGGTTGGTTAAAAGTACGAGGCCTGGAGCCAGGCAAATCGAATTAGGTGTAAATTTGGCTCACTGAACCCAGCTTAATATTAGACAATTTATAATACTTAGGTTTCCGAGCCCCAGTTTCCCCAGATAAAGTGAGGCTGTCAGTAGTACCTACTTGCTAGCGTAGGTGCGAGAATAAAATGAGATACAGGCGGAAAGCATGTGGCTTGGTCCTTGGTCTAATACTCAGTTTTCACCATTGGGGAAACAGGCACGGGGTTGGGGGGCGGGAGATAGCGATTTGCTTAATTATGGTCCTCAGGTGTTGTGTTTTCAGTTCCACACTGTTTACATTATGATTACTGCCTCTGAGAGCCTGGCTTTTCAAACTGGGCTTTATAAGCTTGGTAAGTTTGAGGAACACTGTTTGTGGAATGGAGGAAGGAGCTGGCTGCAGGAGGAGAAAGATGAGGAAACACGAAAGGGCAAGAGAGAAGAAAAGAGGAGATAAAAAGAGACGAACATATGGGTGAACAAAATAGGGCCGTGGAGCAAAAGCTAGGCCAGCTGTTTGGAATCAGGAGTATGTTTTATTCATCTCAGTTCCCCAAGTGCCAAGTACTGTGGCTGGCTGGCACGTGACTGCTCTGGGTAGGCTTCTTCACTGAAGGAGGGGGAAAGGTAGGTGGAGGATTGAGTCTGCAACAACCTTTAAAAAGTCAGCTGTGGGCTTCCCTGGTGGCGCAGTGGTTGGGAGTCCGCCTGCCTATACAGGGGACACAGGTTCGTGCCCTGGTGGGTCCCACACGCCGTGGAGCGGCTGGACCCGTGAGCCATGGCCGCTAGCCATGCACGTCCAGAGCCTGTGCTCCGCAATGGGAGAGGCCAAAACAGTGAGAGGCCCGCGTACCAAAAAAAAAAAAAAAAAAAAGTCATATGTATGTGAAGATACAAAATTGAAGAAACTAATTACAATCTGCTTAAACTACATTTGAAGACAAGGCTTAACCAGAGAATTTGAATGTGAATCACTTGTACTGTTTTTTAATGCTCACAAGGGGGAGCAGTGAAGCAAAAATTGATTTTTGTCCCCCCCCCCCACCAAGTAGGGCTGTTGAAGTTAGGTAGACACTCCAGCCGTTTGCTTATTCTAAAAACAATGTTTACTTAGAGAATGCACTTGAGGACACGGGGAGGCGCAAGGGTAAGCTGGGACGAAGTGAGAGCGTGGCATGGACATATATACACTACCAAATGTAGAATAGATAGCTAGTAGGAAGCAGCCGCATAGCACAGGGAGATCAGCTCGGTGATTTGTGACCACCTAGAGGGGTGGGATAGGGAGGGTGGGAGGGAGACGCAAGAGGGAGGGGATATGGGGATACATGTATATGTATAACTGATTCACTTTGTTATACAGCAGAAAGTAACACAACATTGTAAAGCAGTTATACTTCAATAAAGATGTAAAAAAAATTAAAAACAATAAACTGTTCTGAAACAGTTTGTTTGATCTTCTTGTTCCCTCTCCCTTTGAAAATATTTCGGTTATTAGAGTTCCTTTAATTGTTTTGGATTCTCCTTTGTATATATGATGTAAAATCCTTTAGGGGTTCAAACTGGCATTTACCAGAAGAGAATGTACATATTAGGTTGTTTAGGAGTAGTGAGCAGGGCTTGCTGCCTGTAGTTTTCCAGTCTTAACACCCACATATCCTTTCATTGGACTGCCAGCGTTGTTTCTGCTGAAGTCGCAGCCTTGACTGTGACCACCTGTGTCTGATGCACTCTGTTCTCTGGCTGCACTTCAGATAAAGGCAGGCTCTTTGGATAAATCTGGCTGTGTACAAGTTGGAAATGGCGTTTTCTTTTCTGAAGTAATTAGATGTAATATTTTTCATTGATGGCTTCACGCAGGCCTGCATTGAGTATAAATTCATTTTATAGAAGTTTGTGAAGTGTCACTGTGTCAGGTGATACCAACTCTACAAATTACGATTTTAACAAATCTTCCCTAATTTTTTACACAGACACTGAGGATGCTAGCGAAACTGACCTGGCAAAGCATGATGAAGAAGACTATGTAGAAATGAAGGAACAGTGAGTATGGTTTTTACATTTCTTCTTTGGAATACAGAATTGACAAGGGCATCTTTAATAGTGATTTCGTATATTTGGTTTTCACGTAGTGCTTCCAAAGACCATGCATATGTGTGCAGTTTCCCCCCTTTAAATTTGTCACATTTAATCACTCTTCCTGTGATAAGAATCTTTTGAGGGAAGGCTAGAAAGAATCTGGAGGGAAATGTTCCCGGGAAATAAGGCCATGTAACAGGAGAGAACCCTTGCTTTTTTTTTTTTTTTTTTTAAATGTGAAGACCCTGCCCAGAGGGGGGAAATGGTGTTTCACAGCTCCTTGGTTCTTAGATGGGTGTGACCCCACCGAGCACTTTAAGGCGCACAAGGGGGAGAAGTGAAGCAAAAATTGATTTTTGCCCCCCCCCCCCACCAAGTAGGGCTGTTGAAGTTAGGTAGACACTCCAGCCGTTTGCTTATTCTAAAAACAATGTTTACTTAGAGAATGCACTTGAGGACACGGGGAGGCGCAAGGGTAAGCTGGGACGAAGTGAGAGCGTGGCATGGACATATATACACTACCAAATGTAGAATAGATAGCTAGTAGGAAGCAGCCGCATAGCACAGGGAGATCAGCTCGGTGATTTGTGACCACCTAGAGGGGTGGGATAGGGAGGGTGGGAGGGAGACGCAAGAGGGAGGGGATATGGGGATACATGTATATGTATAACTGATTCACTTTGTTATACAGCAGAAAGTAACACAACATTGTAAAGCAGTTATACTTCAATAAAGATGTAAAAAAAATTAAAAACAATAAACTGTTCTGAAACAGTTTGTTTGATCTTCTTGTTCCCTCTCCCTTTGAAAATATTTCGGTTATTAGAGTTCCTTTAATTGTTTTGGATTCTCCTTTGTATATATGATGTAAAATCCTTTAGGGGTTCAAACTGGCATTTACCAGAAGAGAATGTACATATTAGGTTGTTTAGGAGTAGTGAGCAGGGCTTGCTGCCTGTAGTTTTCCAGTCTTAACACCCACATATCCTTTCATTGGACTGCCAGCGTTGTTTCTGCTGAAGTCGCAGCCTTGACTGTGACCACCTGTGTCTGATGCACTCTGTTCTCTGGCTGCACTTCAGATAAAGGCAGGCTCTTTGGATAAATCTGGCTGTGTACAAGTTGGAAATGGCGTTTTCTTTTCTGAAGTAATTAGATGTAATATTTTTCATTGATGGCTTCACGCAGGCCTGCATTGAGTATAAATTCATTTTATAGAAGTTTGTGAAGTGTCACTGTGTCAGGTGATACCAACTCTACAAATTACGATTTTAACAAATCTTCCCTAATTTTTTACACAGACACTGAGGATGCTAGCGAAACTGACCTGGCAAAGCATGATGAAGAAGACTATGTAGAAATGAAGGAACAGTGAGTATGGTTTTTACATTTCTTCTTTGGAATACAGAATTGACAAGGGCATCTTTAATAGTGATTTCGTATATTTGGTTTTCACGTAGTGCTTCCAAAGACCATGCATATGTGTGCAGTTTCCCCCCTTTAAATTTGTCACATTTAATCACTCTTCCTGTGATAAGAATCTTTTGAGGGAAGGCTAGAAAGAATCTGGAGGGAAATGTTCCCGGGAAATAAGGCCATGTAACAGGAGAGAACCCTTGCTTTTTTTTTTTTTTTTTTTAAATGTGAAGACCACTGCCCAGAGGGGGGAAATGGTGTTTCACAGCTCCTTGGTTCTTAGATGGGTGTGACCCCACCGAGCACTGACTACAAGCTGGATGGCGACGCCCGGAGAGCTCAGGGAGACCAGGATTGGAGAGCAGCTCCTGACTCCTCCAGCGCCCTTTCCCCTTACCCGCATCCACACCCAGGCCTCTAGCAGAGCCACGTCTCAGAGAAACTAAAACCACTCCCTCTAATCGGAAACTTATGGGCAAGACAGTATAACAGAGATCTGATAAGTATTTGTGGAATGTATTTTGAAGATCTTGATTCTGTTTTTTAAATTCTTTACCATCAAACTGCATGATCCACATTCCTTTCCTTATAGAATGTTTTCCCTATACACGAATGTTTTGTGACCATCATCTGGATTCTGTCATCCTTTTCAAGCTTTGGAATCCAAAGGGGAAGCTCAGCTAGATCTGACCAGTGCCAAGTAAAGAATTGCTTTAATAATTGATGTGATTTTTCTCACAGCTTCAGCCCTGAAACTGTGCTGGCTTTTTATTTTACTTGTACTCTCTCCAGGCTTCTTACTGACTTACCTGGACCCATTTGAGATGTATTTTTACATACCTATTCTTTTTCCAAATCTGAATTTTGTTGTTGTTGTTTACTTCTTGAATCTGTTAATACTCTCTTTCAAAGGCCGACTAAGAATTCAAAGACGTAGTCTGGCACACTCACTGTGGTGGAAAATTAAATACAGAAAATTAAACACCATTTCCCCCCTCTGGGCAGTGGTCTTCACATTAAAAAAAAAAAATTAAATATTGGGTCCCAAATAGTGACTTGTGTGCAGCTTACTCATCCTTTCCCTCTCCTATACTTGATGTGTTTAAGTGAACGTACCCCTTAATATTTGATGGTGTAGAAAATAATTTTGATTAAAATTGAATGCTCTTTGTGATTCAAGATGAGCGTTGAAAGCATCAGCATTCTCCCTAAAAGAATCAGGCCTTGAGACTTCCCTGGTGGTCCAGTGGTTAAGACTCCACTCTTCCAATGCAGGGGATGCGGGTTCCATCCCTTGTCAGGGAAATAAGATCCCACATGCTGTGCAGCGCAGCCAAAACAAAAACCAAAAAAGGCCTTCCGTGTAATTCTCAGATTCTGCCTACTCTTCCTCAGCCTGTAGACAGACAGGTTGTGTTTGCAGTCCTTACTGGAGTAATCGAGAGGCTGTTGTGCCTGTTACCTGTTGGACTGGTTGCAAGTCCTGTTTCTGTCACTGTGAAATTGGGTTTTTTGGGGGTTTTTTTTGCGGTACGCGGGCCTCTCACTGTTGTGGCCTCTCCCGTTGCGGAGCACAGGCTCCGGGCGCGCAGGCTCAGCGGCCATGGCTCACGGGCCCAGCCGCTCCGCGGCACGTGGGATCTTCCCGGATTGGGGCATGAACCTGTGTCCCCTGCATCGGTAGGCGGACTCTCAACCACTGCGCCACCAGGGAAGCCCAGGAGGTGTTTTTCTGGTAGAAGCAAAAATATTGCTGAAATGTGACTGACGTGTGAAATCCACCATTCAGACAGACTTACCAGGGTATATAATTGCCTATAATCCATTCAGTGTGAGGGGGGTGAAAACATGCCAGTTTCTTTTGCTTTGTGTGTACTGTGTGTTCTTATCCCACTGGGACTGCAAATAAATCCTGCATTTTAACTTTTGTTACTGAATTGCTGTCATTTCTCTGATCATAGAAGTGTTTTTACAAATGATGTGAAGGTTTATTGACGTAGTGCTTACACAGCAGTGCTATATCTATATAGAAAAATGTGCTGGAGGCATAGTCTTACTCCTTTGGAACTTATGATCTGATTGTAGAGTTGATATGAGAGCTGCATTTAACGCTTTTTATGTTTTCGTGTATATGTCACGCTTCTGAATCCCCAAGAAAATGGCTTCACACTTCCAGTCTTTCTGTGTGTGTTCTTGCCTAACTGTGTTTATCATTGTCATTTATTTATTTAAACTTGCATGTCTTCGTATTTGTAGATTTTAGACTGATTCTCTAAAGGTGAGAGAACACCGAAGAATATGCAAAGCTGGGATACCATTCAAACCACAGAATCCTTGTCCCTTTCTGATCTCTTTAGCTGTGGGCACATTTTAAACCACCAGCAGACTTTAGTTCTCTCTCTCCCTAAGGGACATTAATGACATTTCCATAAAAGCCCAGGTAATTTCTGCATGTAGATTATTATTGAATTGGGTATTGGATGTTTTTGTCTCAGAGTATGGCTTTCCTTTTTTTTTCTTTCACAGGATGTATCAGGATAAATTGGCTTCTCTCAAGAGACAGTTGCAACAACTGCAAGAAGGTTGGTGTGTGATTTAATCCTTCTTTTCTAAACATACTTCCTAATATCACACACCTTTGAAATCTGTGTATTTCACTTCTCAGTGAAGTGGGATTGATTTAAAATTTGGTCTGGCTGATTTTAGCAGTCGGTAAAGTGGCAGTTTTCAGACTTTTTTGAAGTCTCAGTTAAGGCCTTCTGCAGAGCAAGAACTGGAAACCACCATGCCTAAAGCTGGCTGTTTTTAGGGAGAGATGCTGTTACTAAGGATAAATATAATTGTAATGTTCATTCTAAACGGAATGCTAACGAGCTGTGGGTTGTTCTCACCGTGTTTTCTCTTTTTACTTTGTAAACTACAAGTGGGTCGTGTCTTGTCCAAGGCCGTTTGCTGCCAGAGGCAGTTCAGCACTGGGTGAAGAGCACAGGCTCTCCATTCCTGTCACGGGCTTGAGTCCCACCTGCACTGCTTTCTAGAAATTTGACCTTGGGCATTTTACTGTGTCTTGCTTAATTTGTCTTCTAATCTGTGAAATGAAGAAAGTAGAGGCAGGTGAGATTGTGTGTGAGGGGCAACCAGCACCGCTGGGCACCCGCTGACAGCCCAGCATCGGTGGCTGCTGTCAGTAGCTCTTCGGCTTTGCTTCTGTGGGGTCCCCGGCACTGGAACTGCTTCTCCATGACGTACTTCCATTGCTTGGAGCAGCACATCTTATACTGATTTCTCCTTCATAGTGAAACATGTTCCCGTGACTTGCAATCACACACCTTTGTTTTAGTTTTTCTTCCGACGGTAATGGAAGTATTGCCAGAGAAAGAAATACGTCCCACTCTAGCAGGTCTGTAAGGTGTGCCTGGCAGGGTTGAGTGGGGGATTTTGAAAAAGATGCCATTAATATAGCCCACTGGGGACTTCCTTGGTGGGGCAGTGGTTAAGAATTCGCCTGCCAGTGCAGGGGACACAGGTTTGAGCCCTGGTCCGGGAAGATCCCACATGCCGCGGAGCAGCTAAGCCCGTGTGCCACAACTACTGAGCCTGCACTCTAGATCCTACGAGCCACAACTACTGAGCCCATGCTCCACAACAAGAGAAGCCACTGCAGTGCGAAACCTGCTTACCGCAACAAAGAGTAGTCCCTGCTCGCCGCAACTAGAGAAAGCCCGCGCACGGCAACGAAGACCCAACGCAGCCAAAAATAAATAAATTAATTAATAATAAAAAAATGTATATATAGCCCACTGAAGCATTGTCATCCGAAAACACTTCCCGTGCTAATTGGGACCCTCATTATTAGTTGCTCAGGGAAGAGCCATTTGGTCAGATGCTGTACTGAGCTGTCCAGTAATGTCACTAGCCACATTCAGCTATTTAAATTTAATTAAATAAAATTAACAGTTCAGTTCCTGGCTTGCAGTAGCCCCATTTCACGTGCTCATAGCCACATGTGACTCAGGGTTGTCATACTGGCCAGGGCAAAATAGGCCATTTCCACCATTGCACAGCAAGTTCTACTGGATGGCATTGATCTAGACCTTACTGAAGGAGAGTGAGCTTTTTCCGGGAAAGGGGGGCTCACAGACCGAAACTGTAGCAGCGAGTGATGAGAGTCACTGGTGGATGGGTGCAGCTTTCTTCTACTCCTCACTTGCTAGAGAGTCTTAAAGCCACTGGTTGGGGTTTCTGCTCTGCATCTTGCTTGGGAACCAAGTTACCTCTACTCACGGGTGCCTTTCCATGGTGTGTATTTTACTCTAATGTTATTTAAAACATTCAGTGTCGGTGCTAGAAAACCAAAATGTAGAGCAGTTTGATCTTCATAGTAACTATTTTGTAAATCTCAATCAGGTACATTACAGGAATATCAGAAGAGGATGAAAAAACTAGATCAGCAGTACAAAGAGAGGATACGAAATGCAGGTGAGGCTCTCTCTTAACTGGAAATAAATCCTTGTCAAATTTTCCTCCTTTGGCTGATCATCGATTTGGATGTAATGTGGCCAGAAGAGCCATTCTCCAAAACGTGTTTCAGCTGTCCCACTGTGGGGCGAGTTTGGGGGAAGAGAGACTCCAAAGCTGCACTTACGTAGGGCTGTTCATCTTCTTCCCCAATGAGAGGCCTTAGGCTGCTGTCCTTTCACTTTCTGATCCATTGACTTTCCAGCTTTCTATGGATGGAACCCTTCTTTGTTTCCTTCAGTGAGTAGATGCCCATGTCCATCGAGGCACAGAAAAGGAGCTGCAGGGTAGGGGGTACAGGGAAGGTGGGTGATAGAGCTGCTGTGGTGACCCAGCACCCCTCTCCCCGCCCCACTCTAAGTTCCTGAGGCATCTCCTCAGGCATCTTTAAAATCCTCAGCCTTCTTCCTGGAGCCCCTTTTCAGCAGGGAAAGGGGGTGGTGCTGTGGAGGCTGAGGTCCCAGGTTGAGGGCTTCCTCCCATCCCTTAAGGGCTTAAGCCTTTTAGCACGCTTCTGCTCTTGGAGCCTCAGTCTCCCCATTTGGAGAGAGCACTGCTAATATCTTGTGGAACTGGTTTGAGATGTAAGGAGGGAAAGAAAATTGATGTGCGTCATTTCTCTTAAGCAAGAACTGCAGGGTGAGTGTTGATTTGTCTTTCTGAATTCTGCTCTCAATCCTGTGCTCGGTGTCTTTCATAAACATCCCCACCACCCCTGCCCCCAGGTGAAAATGCAGAGGGGCTCCTGAGTCAGTCACACCTTGAGCTTCAAAAAGCACATTCCGTGTGGAGCTGATCCACCTGCTCTTGTTGTGTCTGGCATCTGGCTGCTTTGAAACAACCACCACCAGCTCCAAGAGTGCTACGTGTCGCTTGACTTGCTGGTGCAGAGGTGAAGTCTCCGAATGGCGCAGACTTCAGATATCTGGCCCGTTCATGCGGGTACGGGTCTGCAGCAGTCAGGAGTTGAGTGTGTTGGGCTGGGTGTGCTTGGGCTCGTGTGCCTCACGCTTCCCGGTGCCAAGGTGATGAGGTTTTCTGGGGGTTAGAAAATAGTGAGTGGCTGGTCCGTTTTCCTCAATTTTCTCATTCAACAGTTGATGGATGTCTAGATTCTTCATCTCAAGTTCTTGAAACTCTCAAGATTTTATGTGTGACTGTGCATATGTGCTCTTTTATGGGGGGATGGATCCATAGGATCTTTCGGGTCTGCAAAGGAGACCATGGTTAGATGGGAACAGCACCCCTTGGAGTTACTGCTCCACCAACAGTCTCTGTGGACCGTTTGCAGCAGCTCAGATGTCACCCAGAAAAGAAGCCGTGGACCTGTTTGGTTCCACATGCTCAGTGTGCACAGGACCTTAGAGTCGAGAGGTCGGGGAGCTGCTGAGTAAACAGGCGCTGATCTGGCGCACAGTGGGTGCTCAGTAAGCTGCTGATACCGGGCAGTGGATACTCTTAGGTGTCTGAGAGGGGCTTGGTGAGCGAAGGGGCCTCAGAAAAGGCCTCAAGGAGGAGGCTGCAGTAGTCTGAAACTCTGAGTTGCGGTCAGAGACCAGAGGACATTACAGGTGGAGGCCTGGGTGTGAGCAGAGCCGCAGGAGGGCTCGGGGCCTCTGCCCTCTGAAAGCTTGGAGAATGCCCTTCCTCACCATGCAGAGCCCTGTGTGAGGGGCTTTAAAAATATCCATGTTGCCTCTGCTTCTGGAGTAACTGCATTGCTCCTTCTCCCTGCCCTGCAGGACTTCTGAGGGTGTGTACTGAGTGGAAGAAGGGCTAGCTTCTAGCTCTTACTGATTTTGCCAGGGCAGTTTCGTTCCTGCTTGCTTTCACCCTTGGGCAGAGCTGCCAGAGCGCATTCTGTTCAGGGTCAGATTTTAACTAGACACGCATGCTTCTCGCATCCTACCCCTTCACATATATCAACTGCTTACTGATGGAAACATTTTCTCCTTGCAGCCTTGTTTTCAGAAAGCAATTACTGCTTCTAAATGAATCCTAACGTCACTGTCTAGAAAGGTGGCATAGCCTGGTGAATCTAATTGCATGTTTTATCTCTTTCAGAACTCTTCCTCCAGCTGGAAGTAAGTACCACGGGTCTTCTGGGCTTGCAGGCTCATTCTGAGACTGGAATCTTTCTCTCCCAACCGATCCAATGGCCTTTCCTTCCATTACCACGTAGACAGCTGGGAAGCCCCCCGGAAGCCTCCATCAGTGTTCTGTTTGACTAAAGGACATTTGGTCTCAGTTCAGAAATTCCATCTATTCGTTTGTTGGTTGGGCAGCTTCTGCTTATCACAGAGGGGCTAGGGGATACTCACACTTGACTGCTTTCTTGTAGATGCTTATCTCACGTTAAAGCCATTTGGGAGTATGTCTGAATTACAATGGCCTAATAGTTTGTTATATTGGTCCTCAAAGCAGCCTGGTCTCTGAATTGGCTCCGTTTTACAGCTGAAACCCTGGTTGGGTCGGAAAGATGGATTAAGATCTTTCAGTCAGCAGAGGTCTGAGTGCTGGTTGCGTGTGAGGTGTGGCGCTACAGGCAGAGATGAGGGCTGGAATCTTGGGTAGTCTGCTTGCTCCCGGGAGGCTGGTGTGTGTGTGGGGTGTGGCGGGGTCATAGTTTATCAAAGCCGCGTTATGAGAGACGGTGTTAGGACTAAAGTCAGTGCAACACACGCGGCCACAGCCCAGGGGGTCACAGGGTCCACAGCCGTAGCCCACCAGGAGACCCCTTGTTCTTCACTTAATGCAACACTGAGATTTGGAAAATGGATGCGTACTCATTTGCTTTACTCAGTATAATTTCAGGGTTTGGGTACCTCGGGGTTCAGGCACCTAAGAAGTGATCCTGTCCTCTCATTGGCCTTTATCTTACTGTAAGCATCAAAAAACAATAGAGTAACTCAGGCCGTCTTGACTTGGTATCCTGTAACTATTTTAAATATAGATATTTCATCTGGAATGTACTATTTTCTTCGAAATTGTGTCTTCAAAAGGGTTTATTTACTGTTTCTGAGAAACTTACATTCTGTTTTCACATACAATCCATAAAATATAAGATGTGGAAGAGAGGAAATAGATCTGAGTCACAAGTGAGGTATGCACATAAAAACCAGAAGTGTGGTTCAGTTTCATGCATTCGTTGGAAAACTTGCTCCCAGATACTCTGTTTCTGAAAGTTGGTGTGTTGACTGCAGCTGTTTCTCTTCTTTCTAGTAAACGTATTTCCTCTGTGCTTGTGCACAGAGCCAGGCTTTGTGTTGGAGCCCTGGCTGCCAGGGTCATGTAGCCCCAGCCTGTGTTTCTCTTTTGCTCAGACTGAACAAGTGGAAAGAAATTACATCAAGGAAAAGAAGGCGGCAGTGAAGGAATTTGAAGACAAGAAGGTTGAGCTGAAAGAGAACCTGATTGCCGAGCTAGAAGAAAAGAAGAAAATGATTGAAAATGAAAAGCTAACGATGGAACTGACTGGAGGTATGAAAGCACCACAGAGCAGCGTCCTGGGAGACCCGAGGGGGACCCTGGGGGGAGGGCGGTGCCCCGGTGCCGACTCCTGTTGGTTCCTCAGCAGAGCAGAGTGAGCTGAAAGGAGGGTGGGCTTTCATACGGTGGGTCAGAGTTCTAGCTCTGTCTTGTATTGGCTGTGTGACTTTAGTCAAGCCACTTAACCCCTCTGAGCCAATTTCCCCCTCTATAAAATGGGGCTGATCATATCTTATCTCACAAGACTGTGGTTAGAAATATGAGTGCCTAGTACAGGGTCTTGTACATAACAGATGCTGGGTAAATTAAAGGGTAGATCTTTAATAGTGACTGCAACTTCAGGCTTATGCTTTAATGTAATTCCTGGGTCGGCTGCCATTCCTATCTTGGTTATATTCACAAAGTACCCTGGTCCCTCTGTGGTGGTAGGAATCCCTCTGCTTGTTTTTTTCGTTCTACCTTCATTATGGAAAAAGCATTGTCTTCCTTTGACCCGGGTGTGAGAACAGAGTCTTTGGCTCTGTCATCTGTGCTATTAGATGCCTTCGCCCCAGGTGTTACTGTGAACATTTCAGGAAGAGTTGTTACCATTTCAGCTGGGATAGCTAAACTGAACTGTTCTCTTGTAAAGGCAGGAAAGTTACGTTAGACTCGGAGCCAGTCCCTCTCTGGCCTTCTAGGATTCAGTCATCCGCATATGGGAACTCAGCAGGTTGTAGGCAAGTTTAAGGGAGAGGCAATATGGGCTGCTCTTCCATTGCCATACGTAGACCAACAACGCTGAGAAGGGTACAGGATGGGAATTGGCTTGAACTAGCTATTTTGGAACTTGGCAAAATTTCTTTCCATCAGCAAATATCGCAAGGCACGTCAGTGGTGAGTTTGTCACTTGGGTATGTAAGTGACATGCCTTCGGCACACCCCAAAATTTCACTCTTATAATCATGTTCAGAAGGTCCTGGGGTTCTGGCATGTCTGATTTTTGTCAGGGTCCTTAAGAGATACATTGTTATGTAAGTCCTTGGGGCTGACTTTGAAACTAAAAGTAACAGTTAAGAGCTGTATTTCCCCTTTGGTATTTCTGGTGCTGTTAGCTAACATGGGCTTCCCATTGACACAAACTTCTAGCTCCAGTCCCCATGATGCACCAATGATCATGTGGTTGCATCTAAAGTAGGGGTCTGATTCTTGGAAAATCTCTCTTCTGATACACCGTCCTCATTGAAAGACTTGGCAAAAGGAATGAATTCCTTGCAGACCACTAACAGTGGCTCAGAAATGTGTTTTGGTGAGAATGGATGCTGAAACAGCATCTTCAGAACAGCACCGTCTTATTCTTGTTGAAATGTTTTTTTAATTAAACTGCAAGCACATTGGTACCTTGTCCGGTCCCAGTCGGCGTGCCTGTTTTCTGACCTGCACGCCATCTTCTCCAACAGTGGCTCCGGCTAGCATTGACGCCTCATCGCTCTCCGTTAGAGCCACCAGATGCTCAGAGCCTTCATTAGGCTGGTGGGAAATATTGTCAGTTTATAGCTGCTCCCTTTCCATCTGTGGGGAAGGCTGTCATCACCTCACCTGTGATTTGGCAGCCTAATTATTGACAAGCGATAGACATTTGGCCAGGCAGTTTTACAGCTGGAATCTTAACGGGGACAGTAGGCATCCTTGGTGACTTGAGCGGCCAAACCTGCCAAGGTAGAAAAGACAAATAAATGCAGGGAAGTCATTTGAGATGCAGTAAAATAGATTACAGAAGTGCTTAAAGCTAGCCATGGGCATTAAAGGTACTGATGTCCTTCCTCAAGCCGTTTGGTACCCTTGGTATGGAAAGCACTGCCAAGGTAATGATGGAGCGTCTAAAGAGAAGGCACTGGAGCTAGAAGGATAATGAGCGCTTCCACAGATGGTGCTGTTACGGTGTCGACTTAAAGGTCTGGTTTCCTTCCTCTCACCGAGTGACTGATTTCACTTCTGTGGATTGATGCCCAGTATCAGTGTTGCCTAGCTCTGCCCAGAAAACATACTTCCTAAAATCTCCTTCTCCAGTTCAACGTGAAGATCTCTTGAAAAACAAAGTGGAGCATGAGGCCGAGGAGGAGCTTAAACCAGATAACGCGTTGGAAACAGGCATACCCAGTGACCTGCTCTGTCCAAACGGGATTTCCGCCTTTCCAGCCATCTGTGGGAATTGGTGGGACGTACTCTTCACTGCCTGAACCACTGGTGGAGAACCTGGGACAGCTGGGTTGTGCAGGCAGAAAGGTGTACTGTCAGCAGAGGAACTGGGATGGATTATAGGTCGGTGATTCCCCCACCTTGAATGCGTGTGTGAGTCAGCTGGGGGTCTTGATAAAATGCAGATTCTGGTTCAGGGGGTCTGGGGTGGAGCCAGTGATCCTGCATTTCTAACCACCTCTCCAGGGCTGGTGATGCTGTTGGTCAGACCACACTTGGAGTAGTGAGGTTATAGGTAGAATTACCTGAGGGTGACTTTTCTCTGCAGTTGAGGCCACGGTTCTCAGTAACCCCAGTAATCAACAAGAGCTTCATGAGCTTGAAAACGTGGGGCACTCTATCATTTTTAGTTCATGTGTCCTCTTACCTTACGCCAGCCACCTTTTCTCCTTTCTGCCAACGCCCACTAACTGCCACTTCATCTTTTTTAAGTTCTTGCCTCACCAGGGGCATCTTTCAACCTTCAGGCCCCTGTGGAAGTTATTCATGATCTCAGTAAAGCCTGTGAGGTTCCTTTAGAAGATACTGGATTCAGGGGGCTTCCCTGGTGGCGTAGTGGTTAAGAATCTGCCTGCCAGTGCAGGGGACACGGGTTCGAGCCCTGGTCCAGGAAGATCCCACATGCCGTGGAGCAATGAATCCCATGCGCCCCGTGGGAGCGCTACTGAGCCTGCGCTGTAAAGCCCATGTGCCACAACTACTGAAGCCCGCGTACCTGGAGCCCGTGCTCTGCAACAAGAGAAGCCACCGCAGTGCGAAACCTGCACACCGCAACGGAGAGTAGCCCCCGCTCACTGCAACTACAGAAAGCCCGTGCACAACAACGAAGACCCAACGCAGCCATAGATAAGTAAACAAATAGTTAAAAAAAAAAAGATGTTACTGGATTCATAGCGGGAGGCATGAGTAATGATAATATCAAATAGAAGCTGAGTGTTTACATCGAGCCAGGTATAATATAAGAATACTACAGCTGCCGCTGAAGGCTGACAGATGTGGGTGAATCCCAGCCCAGATGTGAACTTGGTTCTATGGTGGAGTTTTGTCATTTGGCAAGGACACGATAGATCCCGCTGTGGAGGTTTGGTGTAGAGGTGAGAGGAGATGGTGCCCCGAGTGGCTGGCACGCAGAGTGCGCACTAAGGGCCGGGGAAGCTGTGACCTCACTGAGCTCCTGAGACTCCTGTGATGACTTGGCGGGGCAGGCGTGCAGGAACGGAGCAATTTGCTCCAGTGCCCCAGTGAGGTGGTGCTTAAGCCAGACTTGGGCCCCAAGCGTGTTCTCTTAACCACTGCATTATACCGACTCTAAATCCTGTGGACTCATGTGGTCCCAGTGCTTCACAGAATGAGGTTGATAGGGAGGTCTCTGTCCTCGAGGAGCTCATGTCCTTATAGTTACAAGACTGATACGGTTTCCGTGCTTTCCCAGTGTGAGGTTTTTTTGAGAGAGGGGGATCCTAAATAAGTGAAGGTAAAGATGTGTCAAGCTGGTTTTCATTTATTGTAAAACTTCAAGAGGCACGTGTGGTTATACAGGAGCAGATTCACCGGCACAGGTGCCTGTGAGCAGGAAGTCAAGGCGAGGAGAAGAGGCTGCGCACAAATGTCAGGGGAGGGAGGGTGGAAGAGGGGACCTGGATTTGGGGTGGAATGGGCTTGTCCCCAGACGTTCCTTCTTGATGATGCTGTTGTAGAATCCAGGCCATTGAACGGGGTTGAGGATGCACAGCGGTGGGCCTTGATCAGTTCACTCTTGAAATGCACCCCCGTGTTACGGGCAGCTGTGGCCTAATGCAAATTGGTCCCTTCGTTCCTACCCTGGTTTGGCCCCCAATGACCTAACCCTGATTTTTATCCACCCCCCCACCCCCCACTAAAGGCCTCTGTTTGTGGTCACCATGCAGCCTGGATTTGTGGTGTTGCCATTTGAGTGGGGTGTACTGGGGTTTGGTCTGGGCCTTCAGTCCAGCCCCGTGGCTCGCTGCCCCTGGTTTGGGGGTAATTGCCCATCGGCTGCAGTGTCGGCTCTGCTGAGGCTTTTCTGTCACATTCTTACTTAAAAGGATATTCCTTTGAATCCCTGCAACTAATTTTTTTTTGTCAGTAGATAAACAAGTGTGAGTTTGTTTTCATGGTGCAAGTATGTTAAAGTGAAGTTAAAGTGGAGCTTTTACTGCATCTGTGCCCTGTAGGCGAGTGGGCTGTTGGAGTGAATGACTCTGCCTTGAGAAGTGCAGAGCCAAAAGCCAGCCAGTACCCCATAGTTATGTGTTAAAAGGTAATTAGCGTTATCAGGACTATGTCTCCATAGGGCTGTGGCTTAGCACTGCCTCATCTGCGCTCCCATTTTTTAGCCGGCAGGCCCGTCTGGAGAGCAGACCAGTAGGATTTACATGATTCAAGGCCACATATACACAGTGGTGTGGAGGGGGGTTGTGCACCTGGTCTCATCGCTTGCTTGGTGTTTTCTGTCATGAATGCTCCCCTGCCTCTGGTTTAATTGTTGTACGTTCAGTTAGATTCTGCGAATTTTATCCCCACTTATTCACAGGAAGCAAACCTACAAATAGGCCTCTGGATTAGGGAGGCTTTCTGGTTGAAGCCAGTTGGAGATGCTTTGTGCTTGGTGCATGATGTCCGAGAGGACGCTATTTCCTGCTTGAGTGCCTTCTCCAGGGTGGCCACACTCCAAGGTCTGAGTTTCAGTTCCAGGAGTTTGGTTTTTGTCAGTGCACCTAGATTGAGCCCTTGGGACTCCGGGCCAAACTCCCAGGAGACTGATGTCTCAGTCTCAGCCTGATATATATATAGTGGAATATTACTTAGCCATAAAAAAATGAAATTGAGTTATTTGTAGTGAGGTGGATGGACCTAGAGTCTGTCATACAGAATGAAGTAAGTCAGAAAAACAAATACCATATGCTAAGACATATATATGGATTCTAAAAAAAAAAAGGTTCTGAAGAACCTAGGGGGCAGGACAGGAATAAAGACACACATAGAGAATGGACTTGACACAGGGAGGGGGAAGAGTAAGCTGGGACGAAGTGAGAGGGTGGCATGGACATATATACACTACCAAATGTAAAATAGATAGCTAGTGGGAATCAGCCACATAGCACAGGGAGATCAGCTCGGTGCTTTGTGACCACCTAGAGGGGTGGGATAGGGAGGGTGGGAGGGAGATGCAAGAGGGAGGGGATATGGGGATATATGTATATGTATAGCTGATTCACTTCGTTATAAAGCAGAAACTACCACACCATTGTAAAGCAATTATACTCCAATAAAGATGTTAAAAATAAATAAATAAATAAAAAATAAACCCAGCCTGCCAGCCTGTTTCTTCTGGTGAGAAATAGGATTTCCAGGCCCACTCAGACCCAGGTGGTCAGCACATCCCATCTTTATCTATGAAAAAATCGTCCGTAGAAGCCGACCATGCATTACCTGGCTGGGATTGGAACAAAGTGAGTTAAGTAGATAATAATACTGTGTAGTTCCGGGCTGTGATACTTACATGTTGCTCTTCCCCTCGAATCACATCCTCCACCTGGACCCCTGGCCAGGACTGCTCCCTTCTCACTCACTCTCCTGGCTGGTGATGGGGACGTGCTAATTAATTTTAGCGGCTTCCTCAAAGCACCTTCCTTGTGCTAAAGTAGTCTTTTGGGTAAACTGATTAGGTTATTACCGTGACTAGACCAATAATGTGGATTGATTTTCACCATCTCATACGGAGAATTCGATTATGCTTTCTGCTTTGTGAGTGATGGAGTTATTTTTTTCTGAGTTTTTTGGCCATGGTCAGACCGGCTTTTTCCCAAATCCTTTCATCTCTACCTTTGCTTGCTTCCATCATGCATCTCCCACCCGCAGAGGGTAGGGCACACTTGGTGCCTTTTCTCTGGTGCTCTTTGGTCTTCCAAATTAGGTGTGAATGTTGCAAGCCTCACTTTTGACATCACTTTCCTTCAGGTGTATCACTTCTGTCCCAGTTGTTTGTGCCTTGACTTTTCAAAAAGATCTTTGTATGATTTTTTTCCTGGCTAAGAACATGATAATAAAAACTAGCATTGATTGAACTCTTATTATGCCAGGCACTATATTGAGGGCTTCACATGTATCATCTCATGTAATCTTCACAGCACCCTGCGAGGGAAGGGTTATTGATATTTCCAGTTTATGGATGAGGAAACTTGAGACGTAAGAGTATTTACGCAGCCTGCCTTATGTCACACAGTGCCCGCAGGGATACCCACCCAACTGGCCAGTAAGAAACTGGAGAAGGGTAGCATCTCCGCATAGGGTAAGAGGTGTCTTTTAGGGAGAAGGCCCCCCTTTCCCGGGGTGGGTGCGTGTTTGTCCTCCTTCCTTCCGTCCCCACTTCTGAATACACTTTTATGAATGTTCATTAGGTCACTGGTTCTGGTCACTTTACCTCCATTCCTAGGGGAGAAAAGTCAGTATTGCCCATTTCTCTTCTTAAGAGCAACATGCAGAAATGCCTTTTGACTTTGTTCGCACAAACCAAGGCCTCTCGGGTCTCGGGAGTTGCCGTGGTGGACGGGCTATGTTGAATTCCCTAAGGCTGTCCTGTCTGCTCTGCACATGGGATGCGTAGTCATGAATTAACTGCATCTCATCATCAGGCTTGACCTCATCTAGTTGTTCTGCAGGAAACCCCGTGCAGCTAGCCCCTCTCGTGCGCCAGAACTATCACTCGGCATTGGGGTGGAATCCATGCGTCCGCTGGGGGAGTGTCCCAGACACTGGCGGTTGGTGGTAGGGGTTTGTACAGATGCTCTGCTTACTGGGAAGGTGGTGTGACTCCGCAGAAGCCATCACAGCAGGGGCAGTGTTGAGCTGCTCTCTGAGGATGTTGTGTAGGAGTTTCTGGGCAGAAAAGAGGAGGGTAGGCGGAGGGCAGCACACACAGGCTTGAAGGCATAGAAAGTAAGGTGTCCTTGGGTAACAGAATAGCTGAGAGCTTGCTCCCGGGCTCTGTGTGAGGGAAGGAGAAGGGAGGGAGTCTGGAAGGGAGACACGGCCTTTATTCTGTAGCCGATGGCAAGCCATTGAAACATTTCATAGAGTAATGTGCTAAATGATCTGGTTCATGTCTTCGGAAGATCCCTTTGAGGGAGACAGGGTGTGATGAGGAGATGGAGTTGAGAGGCCGTTCACAGGCAGAAGTGCCATTATCTGGTGGGTCTGATGTGTGGGTGAAGAAAGACAAGTCACAGATGACAGTTGGCTCCGGCCGGGAAGGGTGGGTCGTTGGGGAGATGGCCTTGGGGCCTGAGACATGGGGAAGAAGTGGGTTCATGTGGAACCTGGAGAAGAGAGTGTGACATCATGGGGTGTGGGATGCCGTGCAGCGGGGTGGGTGGGGCTGGAACTGGTGACGGGAAATTCACCGGGATCCAGGCTGAGAACTGACTGCACTCCGCAGAGCACCAGTGTCTAAGGAGCAGGCCAGCAAGAAGAACTCCAAGGAGGCAGAGCAGGAGAGAAGGAGAGATCTGTGTGGCTGGGGCGGGCAGGGAAAAGTGTGCGGTGGGTGAGGGGTGAGTCCAGGAGGAGGAAAGGAGGCCTTTCTCAGGACCCCTCGGGGTATCAGTCTGTATAGTCAGGTAGTCACGAAAGGTTATAAAGTAAAATGAAAAGAGCCCAGGTTTGTAAATCTCATGTAAAAATGTTGGCCCTGAGGCCACAGGCCTCTCAAAGGGCCTTTCATGCTGGTGGGCTCTGGTTTACCCACTCTTTGTGGGAACAGCGGGAATTAGAGACGACCCAAAGGTTCTTTCCGATCCCAAGAGCCTGTTGCTCTGTGGCCTCTTGATTTGAGGGAGGGAGAGGAAAATTTCTAGTTTCCAGGGAGCCGTAGAGATGCCAGCCATGGCTGCAGTGGGAGGCTGCAGGGTGGGGCTGTGTCTCAGAGAGGGGTGTGCTCTTAGGTCAGCAGGTTTGAGTCTCCTGAGCACAGACCCCTCGAAAGTCTGATACGGTGTCTGACTCGGGCCATGTGTGGACCAGACGTCCCCAATAAAGCACTTCTGATTGGGTGGCTCTGGGGCCGATATTCTTACACTGCGAATTCTTGCTGACTTCAGGCTGGAGTTGGATAGATTCACCCATTCCATTCTTGCCACAGATTCTATGGAAGTGAAACCCATCATGACCAGAAAGTTGCGGAGGCGACCAAATGATCCTGTCCCCATCCCAGACAAGAGGCGAAAACCTGCTCCTGATATCCGTTGCATCAAGCCTTAATCACTTTTTTTCCTTTAGACTGTTGAATCCTTTGCTTTTCCATTTGATAGAATACACATGGCCGTGGTCCTTCAGAAATTGTCATGTTTGGCTGGAAAGCACATGTATTTATCCAGGAGGTAGGGGATGGCCATTTTATGATTGGAGCCCTCAATTGTTATTGCTTTGAGTGGGAGGAATTTATAGACAGCAGTTATTTGGAAAGGGTCTCTGTGCTGGTTTTGACACTCACTGGGAGATTCATGTGCCTTAGATTTTCGCACCTGTGAAATGAGGACTGTAATACTTGCCTTTCGTACTTCAGTCAGCTACATCCCCCAAACAGTGCATTGCAAAATGTTGTTTAATTAAAACAAAAGATCTCAGTCGGACATCAAGAAGCCCCTTTAATCATAACAGTGGGAATGGGAAGGGGACACTTGGGGGAGTGTTGTTTCCATCCTCTCGAGGAGATAATAAATAGCCATTTTTACAAAATGGTTTTGTTATTTGTCTGCCATGAGGAAGGGGCGTAACTTCCCGTTCCCTTCATCTTATCAACTGAGAATTGAAGCTGTTAGGCAAGATTAATCCTGTACCTGTGTGGAAGTCTCAGATCTTTGGAACCAAAGCACTTCACAAATTGAGGATGAAGTTCTTTACTGTGGCCTGGGCTCTCACTGTTGTTGTAGTTACCTATGGAGTCTCATTTCACCTTCTTACCATAGAAGTTTGTAAGATGGGGGGTGTGTGAATTCTTTTAGATACCTGGCTCCATGACATTTAGTAGGAGGATCAAAAAGTTCCAAGAGGCAAACTGTAGAAACATGGTGGAACATACTCTCACTTTGTAGATTCTCAAACGCTGGCACCATTTTGTTTATTTCTATTTGCTTGGCAGCCATCCTTTTCAGACACATTCCTTTAACTCTGAACACCCCAGCTAAACTATTTGTTAACAGATGAACAGATCATGGAGGATCTGAGAACGTTAAATAAGGTACAGTTTGATTTTTTTGATTCATTTGAAAGCTTAGGCTTGGTGTGGGTTTTCTGCTTTATTTTGTTCTCATTGCTACTTGTTAAATCACTTTTATGCCTTTGACACCTTAAGTTGTATCGGAAATGATTTTCTCTAAGATTTTTTGTTGTTCTTCTTACAGCTGAAGTCACCCAAGAGACCAGGTAAGTGCACGATGTTACTGGCATTCGTGCAATCTTTTTATCATATTGTTGGAAAAGCATGCAAATACCTGACAGGGAGTTGTAGTTTTCAAAAACAAAACGTTCATCATTTGCCTAAGAGCAGTCATCATGAAAACTGGAGTGGACCTCATGTGTACCCTCCCCTGATTTATTTTTTTTTAATCCTGCTATGTTAAAAGTTACTTTCTTTGTCTTTTCCTTAGGATTTATTTTGAGAGACATTTCCTTCTGTGTAGGCATCAGGCATAAGATTTAAGTGCACGTGCATTTCTGAAAATGAAACCAGAAGGGTTTTGCAGTGTGAGTTGCTTTGTGGAGTTCAGTACGAGGCACGCTTACCCAGTGGCTTTTCGCAGCTGCTCCTGGTAACGGCCTCTCGGGCTGCTCCCAGTCCCAGCTTACAGAGGAGACCCGCCCAGTGTTCGGGGTGCTTCTGTTCAGAGCAGCACTTAAGGGTCGTTGCTAGGCTGCAAAATAGAATTCTGAACTGACAAGGCTTTTTTTTTTTTTTTTTTTTTTTTTTTGGTTTTAAGCTATGCGATTACTTACACATCCCTCTACCAGCCAAGTCTTGTGAAAGAAAACAAGATTCTTCTCGCTCTAGATAATTCCCTTCTGAGAGCTGCCATGGTCCACAGAGACGTCCTGAGTTTCTGAAGTCCTGGTGGGGAGGGGGTTTTGTGAGTGTGTGAATTTAGATGATTTGAACCCACTGCAGTTATCAGCAATGTGTTAGCTTGACTCCATACATGCCCAGTAACCTGCCCTGCTTTGTAATAAATATTTCTAGAAATGATTCCATTTTTATAAATTTAAAGAGATTTTTCTGGTTCTTGCCATTGGAGCTTCTGGTGGTCAGTGTTGCTACGGTCCTACTCTGAGTCACCTTGGGCAAACCCCTTAGCCTGTCCCAGCCTCGGGTTTCAGTTTCCCTTCTGTGTGGTGAGGTTTCTCTTTGCCTTGCCTTCCTCACAGAGTTGCTTTAAGGATTAAGTTAGATGTGATGTACAAGAATTTTGTTGAATTCCCATTTATTACAACTGTAAGGACTTGATCATGATTGTTTCCCCCTTTTTAATAGCATTTCAATGAAAGCATGTTAGCTGGTGGACTCGCATGCTCATGCCACACTTAGTCATTGAAATATCTCTTTGGTTCCTCTAGCATCCCCGTCCTCTCCCGAACACTTGCCCGCCACACCTGCAGAGTCTCCAGCCCAGAGGTTTGAAGCTCGGATAGAAGAGGGCAAACTGTACTATGATAAAAGATGGTATGTTCTTGGTAAACACAGATTACTCGTTAGAATCTTTTTTTTTTTTTTTCTTGCGTTATGCGGCCCTCTCACTGTTGTGGCCTCTCCCATTTGCGGAGCACAGGCTCCGGACGCGCAGGCTCCGTGGCCATGGCTCACGGGCCCCGCCGCTCCGCGGCATGTGGGATCTTCCCGAAACGGGGCACGACCCCGCGTCTCCTGCATCGGCAGGCGGACTCTCAAGCACTGCGCCACCAGGGAAGCCCACTCGTTAGAATCTTAAAAGAACCATTTGGAAAGAGGGCTGGGGCTGTCTATAGTTGTTATTTCAGAGCGTGGCTGCTGCTTAACTAAAGGTAGAGGAGCATTTAGAAGTTGTCAGGAATCTTGGATCCATAACTGGGATCAGGGCTTATGTCCCCCTCTGCCCCCTCTTAACTGCACCCCTGTGTGCTAAAATTAATAGGAGTTCTGTGGAAGAAAGGATTTTGTGGTCAGATGAGTTTGGGGGAATGGCCATGTTAGCTAAGACCAATGGGTTTCATCATTGTAGCACTCTGGGTCCTCTGATATGCTAATGTACACTGTGAATTTCTGAGATGTTATTTATTTGACTGAGGTACCCTTTTGCATGCAACATCCTGCAGCACGAGTGTTCCAGGTAAAATAATCGGGGGAGGTGTATCCTAAAACATTACTAGTTTAGATTGAAGATGGTTTGAATCCTTCAGACCACCAGAGTTTTCATTGGGAAGAAAATGGCAAAACAATGTGAAAAACAAATACTCATGCATTTACTCTTTCAACAAATATTTACTGTTTGCTCTGTGACTAGGTGTTCTCCTAGGTGTTAAGTCACCCAGACCCTGCCACCTTTTCTTTAAATACGAATTTCTTCCTTTTATTCATTGCCCGCATGCAGGCATAGTCTCACTCAGGTTAAGTCATGGCAGACACATAATTGCGTACTGCCTTTTCACTTGTTTATGATTTTCTGGGTTATTGTATGCTCTCTGTAATTGTCATTTATAATGGTTATATGATTTTTTTGAGTTTCAATATATTTATTTAACCCAAAATTTCAAAATTAGAGTTGTGGTTATTTTGAATGTTTTGAGCTTTCTTAAAAAACCCCAACACTGTGTTAGTTGATAACCTTATAATATTGTACTTCTGAAGTTGGGAAAAATGCTTACAGACCTCGTGATGCCTGAAATAAATCAGTTCCACCTCTGAGGCTGCAGTGAGTTAATAACACATTGGAAGATGAAGGCTGGCTCTGTCTGTAAACCTGATCCTTTTTTTTTTTCTTTAACATTTTTATTGGACTATAATTGCTTTACAATGTTGTGTCAGTTTCTTCTGTATAACAAAGTGAATCAGCTATATGCATACACATATCTCAATATCCCCTCCCTGTTGTGTCTCCCTCCCACCCTCCTTATCCCACTCCTCTAGGTGGTTGCAAAGCACCGAGCTGTTCTCCCTGTGCTACGCGGCTGCTTCCCACTAGCTATCTTACATTTGGTAGTGTATATATGTCCATGCCACTCTATCACTTCCTAGCTTACCCTTCCTCCACCGTGTCCTCAAGTCCATTCTCTATGTCTGTGCCTTTATTCCTGTCCTGCCCCTAGGTTCATCCGAACCTTTTTTTTTTTTTAGATTCCATATATATGTATTAGCATACGGTATTTGTTTTTCTCTTTCTGATTTACTTCACTCTGTATGATCAACTCTAGGTCCATCCACCTCACTACAAATAACTCAGTTTCGTTTCTTTCTTTGGCTGAGAAATATTCCATTGTATATATGTGCCACATCTTCTTTATCCATTCATCTGTCGATGGACACTTAGGTTGCTTCCATATCCTGACTATTGTAAATAGTGCTGCAATGAACATTGTGGTACATGACTCTTTGAACTATGGTTTTCTCAGGGTATGTGCCCAGTAGTGGGATTGCTGGGTCATACAGTAGTTGTACTTTTAGTTTTTTAAGGAACCTCCATACTGTGCTCCATAGTGGCTGTATCAATTTACATTCCCACCAACAGTGCAAGAGGGTTCCCTTTTCTCCACACTGTCTCCAGCATTTACTGTTTGTAGATTTTTTGATGATGGCCCTTCTGACTAGTGTGAGGTGATACCTCATTGTAATTTGGATTTGCATTTCTCTAATGGTTAGTAATGTTGAGCATCTTTTCATGTGTTTGTTGGCAATCTGTATATTTTCTTTGGAGAAATGTCTGTTTAGGTCTTCTGCCCATTTTTGGATTGGGTTGTTTGTTTTTTTGATATTGAGCTGCATGAGCTGCTTGTGTATTTTGGAGATTAATCCTTTGTCAGTTGCTTTGTTTGTAAGTATTTTCTCCCATTCTGAGGGTTACCTTTTCGTCTTGTTTATGGTTTCCTTTGCTGTGCAAAAGCTTTTGAGTTTTATTAGGTCCCATTTGTTTATTTTTGTTTTTATTTCCATTTCTCTAGGAGGTGGATTAAAAAGGATTTTGCTGTGATTTATGTCTTAGAGTGTTCTGCCTATGTTTTCCTCTACGAGTTTGATAGTGTCTGGCCTTACATTTAGGTCTTTAATCCATTTTGAGTTTATTTTTGTGTATGATGTTAGGGAGTGCTCTAATTTCATTCTTTTACATGTAGCTGTCCAGTTTTCCCAGCACCGCTTATTGAAGAGGCTGTCTTTCCTCCATTGTATACTCTTGCCTCCTTTATCAAAGATGAGGTGATCATATGTGCGTGGGTTTATCTCTGGGCTTTCTTTCCTGTTCCATTGATCTATATTTCTGTTTTTGTGCCAGTACCATACTGTCTTGATGACTGTAGCTTTGTAGTATAGTCTGAAGTCAGGGAGTCTGATTCCTCCAGCTCCGTTTTCCTTTCTCAAGGTTGCTTTGGCTATTCGGGGTCTTTTGTGTTTTCATACAAATGGTGAAATGTTTTGTTCTAGTTCTGTGAAAAATGCCGGTGGTAGTTTGATAGGGATTGCATTGAATCTGTAGATTGCTTTGGGTAGTAGAGTCATTTTCACAATGTTGATTTTTCCAATCCAAGAACATGGTATATCGCTCCAGCTGTTTGTATCATCTTTAATTTCTTTTATCAGGGTCTTATAGTTTTCTGCATACAGGTCTTTTGTCTCCTTAGGTGGGTTTATTCCTAGGTATTTTATTCTTTTTGTTGCAGTGGTAAATGGGAGTGTTTCCTTAATTTCTCTTTCAGATTTTTCATCATTAGTGTTTAGGAATGCAAGAAATTTCTGTGCATCTTTAGGATTCTCTATGTGTAGTATCATTTCATCAGCAAACAGTGACAGTTTTACTTCTACTTTTCCAATTTGGATTCCTTTTATTTCTTTTTTATCTCTGATTGCTGTGGCTAAAACTTCCAAAACTATGTTGAATAATAGTGGTGAGAGTGGGCAACCTTGTCTTGTTCCTGATCTTAGAGGAAATGGTTTCAATTTTTCACCATTGAGAATGATGTTGGCTGTGGGTTTGTCATATATGGGCTTTATTATGTTGAGGTAGGTTCCCTCTTTGCCTACTTTCTGGAGAGTTTTTATCATAAATGGGTGTTGAATTTTGTCAACAGATTTTTCTGCATCTATTGAGATGATCATGTGGTTTTTATCCTTCAGTTTGTTAATATGGTGTATCACACTGATTGATTTGCGTATATTGAAGAATCCTTGCATTCCTGGGGTAAACCCCACTTGATCATGGCGTATGATCCTTTAAATGTGCTGTTGGATTCTGTTTGCTAGTACTTTGTTGAGGATTTTTTTTTTTGCGTTACACGGACCTCTCACTGTTGTGGCCTCTCCTGTTGCGGAGCACAGGCTCCAGACGCGCAGGCTCAGCGGCCATGGCTCACGGGCCCAGCTGCTCCGCGGCATGTGGGATCTTCCCGGACCGGGGCACGAACCTGTGTCCTCTGCATTGGCAGACGGACTGTCAACCACTGCGCCACCAGGGAAGCCCTCCCTTGCTGCTTTTAATATTTTTTTATTTGTATTTAACTTTTGATAGTTTCATTAATATGTGTCTTGGCATGTTTCTCTTTGGTTTTATCCTGTATGGTACTCTCTGTGCTTCCTGGATTTGATTGACTGTTTCCCCTCCCATGTTAGGGAAGTTTTCAACTATAATCTCTTCAATTATTTTCTCAGTCCTTTTCTTTTTCTCTTCTTCTTCTGGGACTCCTATAATTCGATTGTTCTTGCGTTTAATGTTGTCCCAGAGGTCTCTGAGACTCCTCAATTCTTTTTTCTTTATTCTGCTCTCTGGCAGTTATTTCCACCATTTTATCTTCCAGCTCACTTATCCGTTCTTCTGCCTCAGTTATTCTGCTATTGAGTCCTTCTGGAGTATTTTCAATTTCAGTAAATGCGTTGTTCATCACTGTTTGTTTGCTGTTTAGTTCTTCTAGATCCTTGTTAAATGTTTCTTGTATTTTCTCCATTCTGTTTCCGAGATTTTTGGATCATGTTTACTATCATTACTCTGAATTCATTTTCAGGCAGGCTACCTATTTTGTCTTCATTTATTTAGTCTTGTAGGTTTTTACCTTGCTCCTTCATCTGTAACTTATTTTTCTGTCGTTTCTTTCTTTTTCTTTTTTCCTCTTTTTGATGGGTGGTTCTGTATTCCTATCTTACTGGTTGTTTGGCCTGAGGCGTCCAGCACTGGAGTTTACAGGCAGTTGGATAAAGCTGGCTCTTGGCACTGAGATGAGCACCTCCGGGAGGCCTCACTCCGATTATTATTCCCGGGGGTCTGAGGTTGTCTGTTAGTCTAGCGGTTTGGACTCGGAGCCCCCACCACAGGAGCCTGGGCCTGACCTCCAGCCTGGGAACCAAGATCTCACAAGCTTTGTGGTGTGGTTTTAAAAAAAAAAAAAAGAAAGAAAGAAAAAAAGGAGTAGTACAATATCAAAGAATAAGAAACAGGGCTTCCCTGTTGGCGCAGTGGTTGAGAGTCCACCTGCCGATGCAGGGGACAG